AAGACTTTGTAAATGTGTCAGAATTTTCATGCTATTAAAAAGGTCATCTTTGGCAGCCAAAGGTTAAATCCTTCATTCTGATGAAGATGCTGGTAGAGTCTTTGCACTATTGCCCACTATTAACCTTGCCATGGGACCCGAAAGATGAAGCCTCAGCAGAGATTGTCTGGTAGAAGCCACATCTTGCTGGTCGATTAACCCAAGAAGAGGCAACAAATGTCCATGTGTCTTTCTGTGTGAAAAGCAGGGTTGTGTAGATTTGATAGACTTAGCCAGTTATTAGCCAACAATATTAACTGGAAACTTCTTAGATAACAGATATCCTTGACAATGCCTCTTTATTCCCCTGTCTCTGAACAACTGAGAGGATGTCACCAGCAAATGCTGATAGTGACTGTGACCTCCTCTAGCCTCTGGGTTAAAAGCCAGTGACCCCACTGAATTTCTCTCCTTGGTTTTCAATGACAAGACTAATAAGAATGTAGAAAACCACTCTTGAGGAGCAGGAGAGAGGAAAGTAGATCAATGGACTCCTGGTGATCTTGAAAGTTTGGGAAATCACTTGAGAATTATCCACTCTGTCTTGTGATGACAGGCTAAGCTTTGTCCCTCCCAGGGAAAGCTCTGAACTGAAATGCTATATTTGAGCAGACTTCAAATGTCTCAGTGAAGCCTGGAGTCAATTCGCTTTCCTTCTCTCCAAAGTATCACAGGCACAATCCTCCCAGAGAGTCTTGCTGCCTTCTACTGACAGCCTGTGACCTAGAGGCGACTCCACTGGAGTCCCTGATGGGAGGAATGGGATTCCTCAAGTGGCTTTTGGAGATGTGGCCTAGAGACAAAGTCCCATTTTTTAAACAGTTACTGTGCTGGGGAGACAAGAGAAACATCCTGGTTTAATCCCCCTGTGGTCGTGCCGAAGTGAAACAAGATCATCCTTTGACGAGAGACTCCATCACACCCTCCCCTCTGGCAGCAAAATGTCATGTGCCACGTGTCACCCCAGGTCACCCTGTCGTTTTGGCATCATGTGGGAGAAAGATCAAACAAGAGGTATGGTGGGAAGAAGGAAGGATAAACAAGAATTTATTGCTGGGTATGGAATTCTCTGAGTATAAGCCCAGGAGTGAAATTGTTGGATCGTATGGTAGTTATACTTTTAATTTTTTTGAGAAATCTCCAAAATAATTTTACAATGGCTGTATTAGTTAATACCCAGAGAAGTCCATACCTAAGCATAGAGATTTTGCACTCCGTGTTTATTTCTGCTTTATCCATTATAGAAAGAATTGGGATCAACTTAATTGTCCATCAACAGATGAATGGATAATAAAAATTTGGTACGTATACAAAATGGAATACTATGCAGCTCTAAAGAAAAATAAAGTTAAAAAATTTGAGTGAAAATGGATAGACATAAATGTATTATATTAAACAAGGTCACAAAATCTCAGAAAGAAAAAATGCACATTCTCGTATATGGAATCTATCCAATAACATGTATATATGTAAACAAATGTACATGTAGGTACAATGTAACATAAAAAAGGAATAAGAAGCCCACTTTAAAAAAACATAAAGCTATTCTTCTAGTTCTAATTCTGTAATGAATTTATTCATTTTGGTGGAAGAGAAGTACATACAATATATTCAATACTAAAAGTGTTCAATTCTATGCGAGGTTCCACATCTTCCAATCTGAATGCCTATTCTGACTGTGTAGAAGTTCACTGAGGTATGTAGGCTTTGAGTCGAGTTAATTTTGGTGTTTGATGTTTCCACTTATCTGCAAGTATTTTTATAATAAAAAGTTTTAGAAAATAATCTATTTTTTCAAATTTTGAGGAATCAATAATTTTCAAGTCAAAAGTTACTTAAAATAAAAACCTTCAATACCTATTTAGACATTTTGATGTCTTTAATCAGTCAATTATGCCCACTATCTTTTATATACTGTCTTTGCACCTACTCATTCATGTTTTTAATTAGTCTTAAAATTTTAAAATAAATCTCTAATTGTCTCAATTGTTCTTATGCCCCAAACTGGCATACCAAAAGCTCAATTTAAGAAAAAAATGTTAAATAGTTAAAGTTTGAAAAAAATAATTCAAGTGCTTCCCTTGTTACTAGTAATATAGCTGGGAGGTGGTGGCTTTAATTCCCAGAACTCAGGAGGCAAGGCAGGCAGATACCTTATGAGTTCAAGGCCAACCTGGTCTCTAGAGTGAGTTCCAGAACAGCCAAAGCTAAACAGAGAAACCCTGACTTGAAAAACAAAACAAAAGAACAACAGAAAAAAAAACCAAAAAAAAAAGAAAAGAAAATAAGAAGTTCCAAGTAATATAAAGAATCTAAAAGCTATTAACATGCTTAGAACTTTTAATAAATTTTCTTGATTAATAATTTTCAAAATGAAGTTTTAAAGGATATCAACTAAAAGAGGAGAGTCTTAAGTTTTGGAGATTAATCTGTTTTGTTTTAATATAATTTAGTCAAGGCATAAAGTATATACTTGTTGACTGCTCAATGCCCCGCAAAGATTCTGAGAATTGTGTTGGGAGGACACAACATCTATGGCTTCAGTAAGAGCAGGTTTCGTTTTTAAAACCTCACTGTGAAGTGTCATTTGTCGTGGTGAGAACATGGCTTCTGTGGCTCCTCTGTGAAGTGGACAGTCCCCGCCTGGACATCGATTTGTCATGAATGGCTTCCCCAACATTGTCCTTTTCAACCCAACCAGTGTTCCACCAGACCGTGGAATGGTTATTTTAAAAAGTCAGGTGATATGGCAGGAGTCTGTAATCCCAGCTCCAGGGAGCCAGAGACAGGCTTTTCCCTGGAGCTTACTGGCCTGGCAGTCTAGTCTGGTGGGCTCTAGCTTTTTGAGACACCCTGTCTCAAAAAATAAGGAAGACACACAACCTAACCCATGGCCCCCGTATGTGTGTGCACGGTGGTTTTATCCACTTGCCACAAAATGGAGTCATCTAGGAATAGGGAGCCACAGTTGAGATGTTGCCTCTATCAGATGGGCCTGTGGACATGTGAGTGAAGTATTTTCTTGATATTTTGATGTGGAAGATCTAGTCTACTGTGGGCTCTGCCACCCCTGGGCAGGTGGGCCTGGGTTGTATAAGACATAAGACTAGGCAAGCCACGGAAAAGGTGTTCCTCCACGGACTATGCTTCCATGTGTGCCTCCAGGTTCCTTCCTGAGCTTCTACCATGGTTTCCCCGGAAGACGGGCTGTAACCTGTAAGCCAAATTAACCTTTTTCCTCCTCAGATTGCTTTTGGCCATGGTGTTTATAACAGCAGCAGAAACTAAAGCAGATCAACACCCATGCATGCATGCACCAGCATGTACAATTGCACACGTACACACAAATGCAAGCACACACACACACACACACACACACACACACACAATGAAAAACACAATATGATAATACCAAACATCTCATACTTACATATGCCTTTTCAATAACCAAAAAGAAGTCATGTCCATTTGCTATCTCCAAAAAAAATTTTAGACAATTAAAACACAAGATGGATATTCAGATTCCTTTTCCTAGTTATGGATAATAAGAAATGTGATTGATCTCATGCATTTAACACGAAGATGTTCAAAGTAATATGAAAATAGGAGATGATCTGTACTCAATAGAAAGTCTGGAGACTTTGAGATCTCCAGTGAGGTGGGTTCTACCACCTAAGGAAGGTATGGACATTCAGGTCTCCACTCAGATACTCCCACTGAGCTTGGGGTCCAAGGCCCTGAATGAGTTAGCCACAAATGCATCTCAGGTTTCTCCACTGCTCTTGGAGGTGACAATGGATGAGGGAGTGCCCACAGCCAGGCTCTGGGAGACACTAACCCTCAGTGCAGGCTCTGCTATGGGGCTCCCAATGGGGGATAGCCCTGTCTTTTTGTAACTTTAAGTAGTCTAAGAAACACGAAAAAGGAGCTCCCTGGGAATGGAGGGTGACGAGAGGGATAAATCTAGAGCAAGCACTGGCAGCTGGCCACTGATTTGTTGCCAGTCCTGCAAGCTTGAACTATTTTGCATCTGCAAACTTCTTTTTTGTTGTTGTTGTTTTCTGTTTAGTTTTTCGAGATAGAGTTTCTCTGTGTAGTTTTGTTGCCTTTCCTGGATCTCGCTCTGTAGACCAGGCTGGCCTTGAACTCACAGAGATCCGCCTGGCTCTGCCTCCCGAGTGCTGGGATTAAAGGTGTGTTTCCCCACTGCCTGGCCAATCTGCAAACTTTTTATTTTCTGAGACTGGGCTGTTGTCTCAGTCATTCTCCAGAACGCCTTGTAGAACAGCACACTGAGAATAGTCGTGTGTTGGCTCAGATACCTAAGTAGTTCAAAGAAGGGATCAGTCTGAATCTGGAAAGCTCAGTAAATAGTGGGAGGCTGGGGATATGGCTCAGTAAAGTGTCTGCTTCACAAGTGTAGAGACCTGAATGGGGATGCCAGCATCTGTTACCCTAGCAGTGGTGGTGGTGGAGACAGGCAGATGCCAGGGCCTCATTGAGTTTCATGAGAGACCATATATAAAAAAGTAAGGTTGAGTTGTGTCGTCAGCTGCACTAGACCTGTACAAGATCAACCAGCGAGGATGGGAGAAGGTCTCATGAGGCTCCACCCCTAACTGAGGAGCTATTGGCAATCGATGGTTGCTGCCAAAGACAGTCACTTTTGTTCAGTGGTGGGGCAGATTGCTAATGTTCCAGTGGATGACCCCCACCTACACACATGCCATAGTTCCTGTTAGCCCTCAAAGGGAGGGGATTTGAAGGCATGAGCCAGAGGCCACTATTGGATCTGCTCACCCTAAAGTGTCTAGCTACTGACAGCGCCATGGAGGGCATTTATAAGAATAAAAAGCATGGCATCCATGGTGTGAGTTCTGTTTTCCAGTGAAAGACAAACACACCATATTGAAGAATCCAGAAAACAGCCTATGACTTTTCATTGTTTTTTTCTTTCCTAGAGTCTGAAGCTGATAAAGACATAATGAGATAAATGGGACAAAAGAACAGAAGCTACCTGTGGTTGGATTTGGGGAAGGTCATAATATCCCAGGACTTCGAGAACACCAGAGTGCATTGGTACAAGTGCAGTCGCTAAGTAAGAATTGTTCTTCCCTTCAAGTGGTTTTAGAGAGACTGAACTCCTGGTGCCAAAGTAATAATAAAAACAACAACGATGAACGACCTACTAAACATCCTGCAGTGAAAACGTCAACTCTCCCTGTGTCTTCTAGTCTTAGAGGAGGGAAAAATGCACTATCACTAAGAAGTCCAATTTTTCTTCAAATGTACTAAATTCCAGAACGTTATCTACAAAGGTTGGGGGAAGTTGTGTCCCACTTTCCTTTCTTGCTGCTGTGATAAACCCCCCGGGGGAAGCAGCTCAGTGGAGAAGGCTCGCTCTGGCTCGCTCTGGCTCGCTCTGGCTCGCTCTGGCTCGCTCTGGCTCGCTCTGGCTCGCTCTGGCTCGCAGTTGAAGAGTACAGCCTGTCGTCATCATCGTCATCACAGTGAGGAAGTCAATGCAGCAGGAACTCGAAGGTTCAGCTGGCACTGAACCCCCAGTCAAGAAGCAGAGAGGGGCGAGGGTTGCCCTTGCTCAGCTCCCTCCCTCGCAGGCATGCTGAGAGATTCAGCTCCCAGGGAGTTCGGAATTCTGTCAAGTTGACAATTAACAATAACCTTTATGGGACCCATGCCATCTCCCACCCTCCTTCCTTCTCTCCCTTCCTTCCTTCCTTCCTTCCTCCTTTCCTTTCTTCCATTCTTTTTTTTCTTCAGTACATTTTAGGTTTTTGAGGTGGAATCTCACACTGTGAATTAGATTGGCCCAAGCCCCACAGTTTAGCCCAGACTCGTAATCCTCCTGCCTCAGTTTTCCAAGAACTGGGATTACAGGCTTGAGCCATTACATCTCTCTCTCTCTCTCTCTCTCTCTCTCTCTCTCTCTCTCTCTCTCTCTGTGTGTGTGTGTGTGTGTGTGTGTGTGTGTGTGTGTGTGTGATCTACAAACAGTACCACACTGCTCTCATTTTAAAGGAACATGACTCCAAGACTGACTTAAGTACCTGTGAAAGGTGAATCGGAATGACCACATGATGAAGTAAGGAATAAAGTGTAGAAAATGAAAAACATTCCATAGTGAGTGTTAGAGCAAAATGTCCCAGATCACATAGCTGATTAAAGACCTCAAACCACATTGCAGGTAGAGAGGTGGTGCAAAATAATTTGATAATAAAATTTTAAAAAATGATGATACAAAACTCAAGTGTGGAAAATACCACTTTGGGTGGGTTGTAGGATAGCCTTACCATACACTGTTACCAAGAACCAGTATGAAATGCTTAAAACCTATACAAACAAGGTATTTCTAGGAAAGGCCAGAAATTCCAGAGAGTTCCATCTCTTCTTAGAAATAATTTATAAATTCAGGGTAATTACAATAGAATTCCCAATGGAGTATTTTTCTATGGTAGAATAACCCTACATTCATTGGGAAAATGTCAGCATCTTTGGATAAAAACCAGAAACGATGGGGGTTTGTGCAAGCAGAAGCCAGTGCATAGCAAAAGGCATCCTCTCGCCAGCTCCAAGATCGGCAGATAGAGAAAGCAGAACACAGCATTCTGCGACAGAGCCAAGGAGACGGCCGTGACATTCAAGCCAGTGGAAGGAGGACGGCTGAGGGAGGCAGCCACGTGGTCGGGAAAAGTTTCAATTAGTTCACCATACCTCAGATAGTACCAGTGGGATTCCAATTTATCATAAGCCCAAAAGAACAAAGAAGATACATAAAGCAAAGTCTACGATGGAAGGGATCAGCACCGTGGGTCATATAAAGACATCACAGTGTGGTGGTGAAGAGAAAAGTGCAGAGACTCCCTTGAGAAAAACATGGGTGCTAAAGTGCAAGGGTAGAACTGTCCCAGATGGGTGAGAAACAAAAGCCACCATGGAGACGGAAGTCCAGGGAATTTGCCCAGATAGACGAATATTATCTAAAGCCCGCAATCGGGGTGAGAAGAGATGGCTCATTTTGAAAGTGTGCTTGTTGCACAAGCATGGGAACCTAAGTTGGGATCCCAGTTCCCAAGTAACAAGCTGGGCATTGACGCATGTGTGCCTTGTGACCCCCAACTCTGTGGGGGCAGAATCCATGGGGCAGGAAGGTCTGTGGGACTCGCTGACTGCAAGCCTCATTCTCAGTTCAGTGAGATTTCCTGTCTCAAAGACTAAGAGTGGTAGAGATTGACACTTGACCTCTTCCTCTGGTCTCTGTGCATACATGCACACATTCACACACATTGTACTCACACACATATATGCACAGACACACAGAGACCATAATGTTCAAAGATGCAAAATTAAACACAGCAAAGCACCCATCACCACTGTCTATTAGAATAGGGAATATTTAAGATGGATGGATGGATGGATGGATGGATGTTACAAGGACAGATGGATAGACATGATTAGATTGAGAGATAGACAGATAGATGGATTTATATAGACATAGATTAGGATAGGTAGATAGATAGATAGATAGATAGATAGATAGATAGATAGATAGATAGATAGATAGATAGATGATAGATAGATAGATATAGATAGGTAGGATGACAGGAGTTGGGGAGGATGAAGGTAAAGAGAAAGAACATTCTAGTATGTTGACATTTTTAGAGTAGAATGATACATCTTTGCATTTTGGCAATAAAGATCAAATACCATCTTAATTCTGGCAGTGTAGTCCACAAAGCAAGCACACACACACACACACACACACACACACACACACACACACACACACACACACACTATCAGTTACTTTTCTGCTGCTGTGATAAAAACCCATGACCAAAGACAAATCCAGGAAGAGAGTTTATTTTGGGTCACAGTTCCAAAGGAGTAAGATCTTTCACAGTGGGGGGAAGGTATGGCAGGAAGTGGCTGGCATGATGGTACCAGTGGCAAAGGGGGAGCCTGATGGCATCGAGAAGAAGTTGCCAGTTTATTAATAAACAAACCTTGTCAGACAACTTGAGCTATATTTCATTTTGTTTGTTTTGTTTTGTTTCGAGACAGCATTTCTTTGTGTAGATTTGCTGTCCTCGAACTCACTCTGTAGACCAGGCTGGCCTTGAACTCACAGAGATCTGCCTGCCTCTGCCTCCTGAGTGCTGGGAGCATTACCTGGCTATATTTCATCATTGTAAAATCAAAACTTATATCTTCATGGGGAAAATGCCATGTGCTTGGTCATCAGATATTCTCTTTTGAACGTGGCTCCTGAGAGCTAAGGCTCAAAAATGGGCTAAAGAGAGTAGCTTTGAGGGCTACAGAAAGCCTCCCCCACTTTTTTTCCTGTGGAACAGTGACGTGAGTTCAGAACTTCCTGTCTATGGCGAGCACCACCCTCTTTCAGATTCTACACTCTGAACATGTGAATAAATTTGTAAGAAGTCAGAGAGCCTGGTGTCTCAGAAGCTCCAGGTATCCTGTGCCTGTCTCATGAGTGGCACCTAGACAGGATTCCAAGCACATCTGAATTCCTTAGCATATGGCTAAACTATTACAAAGACATTGTGACCAAGAAGAAGTAGTTTGTGAATGTTGCACGGATGGATTATGCTTGGCTGGTCACACCAACTGGCAGAATGAGTGCAATTTTTAAAATATGAAATACAAATTTTTATCAAAGGAGAAGTAAAACGTTATAGCTTTAGGTTCATTAAACCCAGCTCACATTCTGGGATTCCAAAAATAAAGCATTGGCTATTTCAAATTGCAGCTTGACGAGATTGCTGCAGATGAAACCCAGGAGACTGGGGACGGGGGTGGCGGCAGGGGTGGGGGGAGCAGCACACGCAGGGCTGTCCTTGTCTCTCCACAGTGCTGGCCTGGGATGGACCAAGGAAGGTCTCTCTTCTCACACTTCACTCCAGAATACAGATGTCAGCAGCAGCGCCCGTTCGCCCAGCAGAGACGGCCCAGCTCATTCCGAGAGCTTTCTCTGGCAGTCCCTAAGTCCCCCACCCCACCCCCCACCCCCGGCTTGTTGACCTCTGTGGCCTGGCTGGTGGTGTGCTGGTCACCATATCCAAGGCATCTTCTTGCAGATTGACATTGACAGATCTGCCATGTGGCGGGTCCTTGTGGACTGCAGAGGTGGCTGGAATGCAGGGTCCTGTGGGCAATGTGTTGCCCTCGCTGGGCCACATCACCTCCACAAAGGAGGCATTGAAGCAATCCACATAGCATGGCCTACTGGGAGGGGTTCTGTCTCAGAGCATAGGTCCTGGCCCTCACATGAGAGCACCACACAGTAAGTACAGTTGTAACAAGCTGCCCTGCCTTCTAAAGAGGAAGATAAGTCCTTCCTCTGTCTGTCTGTCTGTCTCTGTGTCTGTGTGTCCCCCTCCCCAATAAACCCTGCTGTTTTCCTTCCTGCTGTGACTTGAATGTGAAGCGCCCCCACAGGCTCACCTGCTTGCACACTTGGTCACCAGTGGTGCTGCTGTTGGGGAAGATTAGGGAACCTTCAGATGGTAGACCCTGGATGGATGAAATGGGTGACTAGGAAGGGCTTTGAGGTTTTACAGCCCTGCCCACTTCCAGTGTGCTCTCTGGGGAAGCAATGGGAGCCGAAGCCTCACGCTCTTGTGCCCTGCCTTTCCCACAGTGACGACCCATGTCACTTCCTAAACTGATCCAAAGTAAGTCCTTCCTTCCTTAAGTGGCTTTTGGTGGGTATCTGATCATAGCCACAAAGCCTACCTAATACTCCTCTATCTTCCAACACTCGCCCACAGCCAAGGTAAACCCTCGGCCACCAGCTGAGCCCCTGTCCTGCCTCCAAGATCAAACTCCCTGAAGGGACCATTGGCCTGTGGCCTGCCCATCACCCACCACCTCTAAATTCCCCCAAATCCTCTGCCCTGCTCTCCCCAAAGCCTTTAGCAATTGCTTCTGGGGATGGATAGGGGAGGAAATGACCCTTTTAAGATTTACTCTTAAAACAGGGTGTATTGTTTTTGCCTGGAGTACTGAGTTTAGCTACAGATATTGATCAAATGCATTGGCCAAGTGAACATACCGTGTTCCTACTCACAATATAGTCTTTTTTTTTTTATTGATCAACAGAATTCAGAACCCTATGAGATAAACAATTATACCACCAATAAAAAAATCCAAACAGCAGCATTTAAAATGAACTTTGTAAGTAAACAGAGTTATGCAGAATTATGTTGCCGACTGTTACAGTACCAACTCTTCTCCCTGCGCTGAGGCAGGCTCCAGAAACTGAATGACATCAGTTTTCAAAGTGTTACACTGCTGACCCCTAGTTCTCACTTCATCTGAAATCAGAGCACTGGCGATTTTCATAAAAAAAAAAAGTCTCTTTTCTTCTTTTGATAAGAGTGCTGCCATTAAATAAAATTAGCAGATGACATGAGGCAAGGTTTGCAATACTTATTCTAATTGCAATAAAAGCTTTCTCCGCTGAGAACAAGGGCTCCTATTCACCTAGAACTGATCTTGTAATTCAAACACAGCCTAGCTGTGAAATCTCTTCAGCGAAGCCCTTACGAGCTACATCATCTTAAATGCAGGCGGTGGAAACCGGGGAGATATTGCTAATAACAGGGCTGCATTAATTAATTGCTATAAAATTTGCAAAATAAAAAGAACACTGGGAACAAAGCGATATAATATTTACCAGTGCTGAAAATTAGAAATAAATATTCAACATGCCCTTTTGACTCATACAAGCAAGGCAGCTTGAAATAATAAGGCACGGCAAAGTCTTTTACACGGGAAAAGCTAATGATTTCTGCATTTTGCTGCTGGTGAAGAATTGAAGGATGGCTGATTGGCTGATTTGAATCTTCCTTCAATCTCCCATCAATAAAACAGAGACAAGGCAGGGGCGAAAGCTGATCTGGGAGAGTCGTGTTTCTATAATTGCTTTTTCCCCTCAGGCATTTGAAATCCAGAGGGTCAGTAGTTCTTGTGAGAAGACTGGGGGAGCTGAGGGGGCCCCCCACCAAAACCCTGAGACACAAATTAATTTGTTTATGGGGCTCAGAGTCTCATTTGCAGAAAGAGAATGTGCATGGCAATTTCCAGTGTTATAACCTAATTAAAGATGGATCCGTGTAAAATATTTATGCAAACTTTACCAAATCCAAAGATTTTAATCCCATTTGAGTGGTTAGCTGACTTGTGGGACCAGAAACAATTTTTAAGCCCTAGCTTCTGCACCAGGACTCTGGAAGGCAAACTATTTTTTTCTTCAAGTGTTACTACATTTAAGCTGTTTGAGCACCTGTTAGTGGATCTAATTAAGGAGATCTAATCTCCTGCCACATATTCGGAGTCTCTTTGGCTAGTAGCTATGGCCAATTTCTTTATTCAAATTATCTGGAGTCTCCTTTTACCTTCTTCCCTTTTCCTTTCGCACTTTTCTATAAACTTGGGAATGGGAATGAAAATATGCATTTCAGGATTGTATAGTCTGCTACCAAGAGGCCTACCTGGGAAAGATTCAGGCCCAGTCCCACAAAGGTGGCCTTTAGTTTCCAGTTGGGTATCTATAAGGAACAAGGCTGGGAGAAAGGAGAGAACAAAATAAGGAAATGTAAGTGGCCCAAGCGTGGCTACTGGGGGCCTGTTCTTCCTCACTGAGCTATGGTTGTACTACAAGTGCCTTTCCTGAGGCCACAGAGGAAGCTTTTCCAGGGCTTTGCTGAGTCACACCACTTTACCTGCTAGGAATAATGAGACCAAACTAGAAGAAAACAGTGACTCTACAGTTGGGAATTTTAGCACCTCAGGCAGCCCATCCCTGATTGGGACCAGTACTCCTCTTCTTGTCTTAGTTTTTAAAGTGACATCCTCTGTGAACAAGATCCCTAGTGCCCAAGGGCATCCGTACCCTGCAGGCCAACTGGAAGACTGGATTCCAGCATGTGATTCCCCAAGAGCTCCAGAGGGACCTAGCTAGCTGGTAGAGTGCTTACTGTGGATGGAGTGGGTGAGGATGGGGGGCTCTGTTTGCCCTGAAGTCTGGAGAGAAAGAAGTACAAATTCATCAGGAATATAGGGTGGGGAGTTTCCATATCTCTCTCAGGTTGGGACTTTTCCATAAAGCCAGGGACTATAGGATCCAGGACCTCGGAACTCACTCTAGACATCATCTTTTAAATTTTTGTTTTGTTAGGATATTTGTGCACACACACATGACCATGCATACCCCCCACATATGTATGAATATAATTCCCAATTTTAAGTGTGTATTTCATTGTTTCTTTTTAAATGTTTATGATTTTTATTTTATGCACATGGGTCGCCCCACCAGTTGTATGTCTGTGCACCATGTGTACCTGTGCCTGGTGCTCACAGAGGCCAGAAGAGGAGATCAGATCCTCTGGGACTGTAGTTACAGATGGTTGTAGCCACTATATGGGTGCTGGGAATTGAACCCGAGTCTTCT